GGTGGGGACAGTAGCAGGAGGCCAGGAAGGAGGCTCTGGGATGTCCAGGCTGGGGAAGACAGAGGCTGGGCCAGATGGGGCAGTGGAGGGGGTGACAGACTGAGCCACAGGAAGAACCACACTGACTGAGATGGGGAAGGCAGGAGGGGCGGCTCTGGGGGAAGGTTGAGAGCCTAGCGAGGTGTGATCAGTTTGAGAAGATCAGAGGTATTGAATAGACAGTCACTGCCTCCACTGGCTCCCCACATTGCCCTGCCAGAACCTGCTGGCTGGGCTCAAGGCACCCGGCCTCCCTCCTGCTCCTCCCATCCAGGTCCATGGAGCTGGAGTCAGTGGGAATGGGTGGTGCCGCGGCGTTCCGGGAAGTGCGGGTGCAGTCGGTGGTGGTGGAGTTTCTGCTCACCCACGTGGACGTCCTGTTCAGCGACACCTTCACCTCCGCTGGCCTGGACCCTGCAGGTATGCCCTCCCACCCGCTGAGGTCCTGGCTACTGCCCACCACGGTCAGGGCTGCAGAGGGAGGGCAGGTGGGCTCCCAGTCCCATCCCCACCCCACTGAAGCTGGGCCTCCCTCCCGGCTCCTTGAGGACCCCGCCCCGGCCTCTCCCTCCCCGCGCCCCCCCTCCTTCTCATTTCAGCTCCTCCGCTCAGGATTCCCACCTCTTGGCCCGGACGCCGCTCTTCCTTCACCCCTTGTAGCTCCTGGGGGCGCTTGGGGCCATGGGTCCACCTGGGAGGAGGTGGGAGGTCCCCAGACTTGACCCCTCCCCGGCCCCGCCCAGACTCCCCGCCCTGCCCCGGACCCCAGCCCAGTCAGGACTCTGCTCGTCGGAGGGCCCCCTGGCCTGAGGTAACTGAAGCCAGAGCCGCTGCCCTCGCTGGCTGCCGGGAGCTGCCTCCTCATCAGCTCGTCCTGCCCCACCCTCCTCCCACCTGCCTGCTGCCCGCCCGCTCCCTCCTGATCCGCCCCGGCCCCCTGCCTTGCCAGCCCGGGTGGGCATGCTGCGGGGCCGGGGCTTGGGCTGTGGCGCTTGGCTTTGCCCGTGGCCTTGGGCGGCCCCAGAGCTGACAGGTGCCCCCTTTCCACACTCCCCAGGCCGATGCCTGCTCCCCAGGCCCAAGTCCCTCGCGGGCAGCTGCCCCTCCACCCGCCTGCTGACGCTGGAGGAAGCCCAGGCGCGCACGCAGGGCCGGCTAGGGATGCCCACAGAGCCCACAACTCCCAAGACCCCCGCCTCACCTGTGGAAAGGTGAGTGGGATGCTGGGGGTGGTGAGGGGCAGGTGGAGGCCTGGTTCCTCAGACGACCTGCCATTTCTCCCCCAAACCACAGGAGGAAAGGGGAGAGAGGGGAGAAACAGCGGAAGCCAGGGGGCAGCAGCTGGAAGACGTTCTTTGCACTGGGCCGGGGCCCCAGTGTCCCTCGAAAGAAGCCCCTGCCCTGGCTGGGGGGCACCCGCGCCCCACCGCAGCCTTCAGGTGAGAGGCTGGGCCATGGGCTGGTGGGCAGCGGTGGTCGCTGGAGTGCCCTCCTACCTCTTCGTCTCCTGCAGGCGGCAGACCCGACACCGTCACACTGAGATCTGCCAAGAGCGAGGAGTCTCTGTCATCGCAGGCCAGCGGGGCTGGTGAGCAAGGGGGGGAAGTGGGGGGGCACTATCTGCACCCAAGTGGAGCCAGGAGGAATTGGGGCCCTGGTTTGGCCTCCAAATTTTGTACTTCACATTTGGGGGTCCTGGGGCTTTTGAAAATTTTAACCTGGCCTTTATGTACAATGAGTTGGATACAGTATCACCTTTGGTTCATCACACACCGAACTTAACTTATTGGTCCATGACAGGCCCTTTAAAAAGTCTTTATTATTCCTGTTGAACATTTTTAAATAACATTATGGACATCCATGAACCCACCAGCCTAGAACTAAAGCAGCTCCATTCCTTCTCCCGTTCAAGTTCCTCCCCACTGGAGGCATCCTCTCAATTTGCAGACTACCCTGCCCTTGCTTTCCGAGTTTGATCATACACAGGTGTGTGTGGAAGGATCATACTGCTCAGTTCTAGTCATTTTGGAAACTTTATTTAAAGGGTGTCATAAGAAAGGGGCACCGCGCTTGGCTTTTTCCCCATCGCTACCTCACAGCCTGCCGCGCTGCTGGGTGCCGCTTTCCGGCCTCTGCCAGGGGCTGCTTATCCATCCCACCCAGCCATGCCTCTGGGGGCTCTTCTGAACCACCGCGCTGTCCTCACACTCCTGGGGTACTGCCCTCCCATGTACCCAGGAGCACAGGCACTGTCCTGCCGGCTCAGCAGCTGTGTGTGAATCTGTTGGTCTCGTGCCCACAGCCTGTGGGGCGGCCACAGGACCTTCGTGCTTTGGGCCGGAAGTGTCCTCTTCATGGTCTCCACCGTGAATCTGAAACAGCTTTTCCTGGCTTCACAGCTACTGTGGCACTCTCTGGGGAGGTGCCTCTTCATGTCCTTTCCCCAGCTTTCTGTGGGGCTGTGCGCCCTGTTCTCAGGGATGGTCTCACTGACTCCACCCCTCCAGGCCTCCAGAGGCTGCACAGGCTGCGGCGACCCCACTCCAGCAGCGACGCTTTCCCCGTGGGCCCAGCACCTGCTGGCTCCTGCGAGAGCCTGTCCTCGTCCTCCTCCTCTGAGTCCTCCTCCTCGGAGTCCTCCTCTTCATCCTCTGAGTCCTCAGCAGCTGGGCTGGGGGCACTCTCTGGGTCCCCCTCACACCGTACCTCAGCCTGGCTAGATGATGGTGATGAGCTGGACTTCAGCCCACCCCGCTGCCTGGAGGGACTCCGGGGGCTGGACTTTGATCCCTTAACCTTCCGCTGCAGCAGCCCCACCCCAGGGGATCCCGCACCTCCCGCCAGCCCAGCACCCCCCGCCCCTGCCTCTGCCTTCCCACCCAGGGTGACCCCCCAGGCCATCTCGCCCCGAGGGCCCACCAGCCCTGCCTCGCCCGCTGCCCTGGACATCTCAGAGCCCCTGGCTGTATCAGTGCCACCCGCTGTCCTAGAACTGCTGGGGGCTGGGGGAGCACCTGCCTCAGCCACCCCAACACCAGCTCTCAGCCCTGGCCGGAGCCTGCGCCCCCATCTCATACCCCTGCTGCTGCGTGGAGCCGAGGCCCCGCTGACTGATGCCTGCCAGCAGGAGATGTACAGCAAGCTCCGGGGAGCTCAGGGCCCACTGGGTGAGTCCTGCTCGGCCTACCCCACCCCTGTCCCTGCCTGCTCTCACTGACCCTGAGGGCCTGGCCCCAGCTGAACCCCTCTCCATTCATTTATATAGGTCCTGATATGGAGTCACCATTGCCACCCCCTCCCCTGTCTCTCCTGCGCCCTGGGGGTGCCCCACCCCCGCCCCCCAAGAACCCAGCGCGCCTCATGGCCCTGGCCCTGGCTGAGCGGGCTCAGCAGGTGGCCGAGCAACAGAGCCAGCAGGAGTGTGGGGGCACCCCACCTGCTCCCCGATCCCCCTTCCGCCGGTCGCTGTCTCTGGAGGTGGGTGGGGAGCCCCCGGGGACCTCAGGGAGTGGGCCACCTCCCAACTCCCTAGCCCATCCGAGTGTCTGGGTCCCGGGACCCCCATCCTACTTACCAAGGCAACAAAGTGATGGGAGCCTGCTGAGGAGCCAGCGGCCCATGGGGACCTCAAGGAGGGGACTCCGAGGCCCTGCCCAGGTCAGTGCCCAGCTCAAGGCAGGTGGGGGGGGCAGGGATGCGCCAGAGGCAGCAGCCCAGTCCCCATGTTCTGTCCCCTCACAGGTTCCTACCCCCGGCTTCTTCTCCCCAGCCCCCAGGGAGTGCCTGCCACCCTTCCTCGGGGTCCCCAAGCCAGGCTTGTACCCCCTGGGCCCCCCATCCTTCCAGCCCAGTTCCCCAGCCCCGGTCTGGAGGAGCTCCCTGGGCCCCCCTGCACCACTCGACAGGGGAGAGAACCTGTACTATGAGATCGGGGCAGGTGAGGGGTCCCCCTATTCTGGCCCTACCCGCTCCTGGAGTCCCTTTCGCTCCATGCCCCCCGACAGGCTCAATGCCTCCTATGGCATGCTTGGCCAATCGCCCCCACTCCACAGGTCCCCCGACTTAGTGCTCAGCTACCCGCCAGCCCCTTCCTGCTTTCCCCCTGACCACCTTGGCTACTCAGGCCCCCAGCACCCTGCTCGGCGCCCCACACCGCCTGAGCCCCTCTACGTCAACCTAGCCCTAGGGCCCAGAGGTCCCTCACCTGCCTCTTCCTCCTCCTCTTCCCCTCCTGCCCACCCCCGAAGCCGTTCAGATCCCGGTCCCCCAGTCCCCCGCCTTCCCCAGAAACAACGGGCACCCTGGGGCCCCCGTACCCCTCATAGGGTGCCGGGTCCCTGGGGCCCCCCTGAGCCTCTCCTGCTCTACAGGGCAGCCCCGCCAGCCTATGGAAGGGGGGGCGAGCTCCACCGAGGGTCCTTGTACAGAAATGGAGGGCAAAGAGGGGAGGGGGCTGGTCCCCCACCCCCTTACCCCACTCCCAGCTGGTCCCTCCACTCTGAGGGCCAGACCCGAAGCTACTGCTGAGCACCAGCTGGGAGGGGCCGTCCTTCCTTCCCTTCACCCCTACTGGATCTTGGCTCAACCAAATCCCTTGTTTTGTATTTTCTTGAGCCCCGACCACTACCCCAGGTTTCTAACTTTGTAACTTGCTTCTGATGTGGGTCCCTAACCTGTAATCCCAGCTTCCCTACCCTGGACTGAAGGGTCCGCCCATCCCCCCCCTCCATCCTGGGGGCCCTTGCACAAATCTGGGGTGGAGGGACTAGGCTGACCCCATCCTCCTCTCCCTCCAGGAGCCCCCAGCATGTCCTGACCTGTGCACGGGGATGGGGGGACAACTCCTACCCTTCCTTCCCCACATGCCCCACTAAACCATCTGACAACATTAATGAATAAAATGGTGAAAATGTGGCTGCTGAAGTTGTGCTGGGGCCAAACTCAGTGAGTGAAGACTGACAGAGGGGGCGCTCTATCATTCTATTTCCTTCTGGGGAGGCACCAAGGCAGGAGTTACTCCTGGGAGCCTCTAAGAGGTGGTATCCGCAGAGCGGGAACCATGGGCACCCTGGGAGTCTAGGTCAGGAGTGGGGCTCAGGCTGGGCCTTTCTCCAAGCTGACATCCTTTTTGCAGCTCTGCTATGATCTCCAGCAGGTCCATCCTGGGAAGCAGTGGGGCACAGGCAGACCTAGGGTTACCTCAGGGATAAAGACCTAGGGTTACCCAGGGTCCTCCCATCCGAGGCCTCAGGTCTCACTTCTGCAGGCCGGAGAAGATACCTTCTCCAGTCAGCTCAGTAGCGGGTGCCTGCAGGAGAGAAGGCTGGAGATGCCACCTGGTAGCCATGGCGCTCCAGCGGGCCTTGGAGGGCGGATGGGGCACAGACTGGGCTCGGGGTCCCCTGCTTAGCCTGCCCTCGTGGCCTTCCAGCAGCCTCCCAATGTGTGGGAAGCCTCCCTGTGGGTCAGCAGGCTGGGGATGGGCTCATAGGGCTGGGGCTCCAGCAGAGTAACCCTGTGTGTGTGCCACAGCAGCCCCTGCAGGCCTGGAATCTTGGCTGAGCGCTTCCTCAAACTGCTCCATAGAGCTCTGGGTCCCCAGCAGGGAGGCTGAGTCCTGGAGGCTGGAGGTGGAGTGCAGGGAAGGGCCCTGAGGGAAGCAGGGTTGGTTAAGGGTCACAGGTGAGTGAGGGGACAGTTGGGCGACCCTAAAGTTCCCTCGTCAAAGGAGAGGCAGCCAGAGAACTTGGGGTTGGTGACTACTGGAGGGTGGGCAGAGGTAGTCACAGGTTAGCAATGGGACAGTTGTTCAAGGCTCTGGGGGTATCTGTACTGTTGGGCTGGGCTCCAGGCAGCAGTGCAGGCTGACCCTGGCTGTGGGGCTGTGGCCAGACCCAGGACTGGGGCCTGAGCTAGGCCCAGAGCTGCTGCCGAGAGTCAAGCTGCTGCCCAAGCTCCAGGCTGCACCCTGCTGTGGCCTGTGACCGCAGGAGTCTCTGGGGCCTGCAGAGAGGGATGGCAGAGAGCTGGCATGGGTTGCCCAGGTGTCCTACAGCTCCCTTGGTCCCCCACAGCCCCATCCTGGCTCCTACCTGGAATGGGATGGGGTCTGGGGACATCACAGGGGGCACACACCTGGGTGTGGTCTTGGCTCTGTGAGCCACTTCACGGCACACTTTCTCTGTGGGGACAGACCAGTTGGTCAGACCGGGGGCGGACCTGTCCACCCTGTCCAAGGGTCATGTTCACCCTTAAATTCCCATCAGGGACTGCAGAGCTCGGGACACAGTCAGTGCTCGGTACCACTGCTGACTGGCCAACTGAAGCCACACCTTCCATACAGCTCCTTGATCCTGCCCCCACAGATGTACCAGCAACCAGGCCCTCACCTCTCAGCAGGAGCCTGGCCGGGCCCCATCCTGGGCTCCCCCGCCACAGCCACGTGGTGCAGACGGCCCACCTGGGTGTCTAGATCCCTCTTGGAACCCAGCTCCACTGGGAAGCGAAAGGGCAGTGAGGGCGTCTGTGGGGTCCGGTTCCGGGGCAGGGATCCGCTAGGGGGTCTCATGAGGGAAGGGGGATGTGAAGGACCGGAACTTTGGGGACAAGAAAACAATAAAGACAGAGTTGGCTGGGGGTTTTGGGGGCGCAGTCTAGAAGGGAAGGGGATTCAGGAGGGGTCTGATGGGAAGGGAGGCGGCTGAATGAGAAAAGGGGGTGGCTCTGGGAGGGCGACATACCAGAAGGTCTGGGGTCGCAGGGAGACTGAGAGCTGAGGGGGATCTAAGGCAATTGGAGGGCTGGGAGGGGGCTTAGGGCTGGGGTCGGGCGTGCCAGGGTGGCAGAAGGGCTGCGAGGATAGAATCTGAGCCTGGGAAGGGAGTCGAAGGGCTTGGGAGGAGGCTCTGAAGGCTGCGGTGGGAGGAAGAGGCGTCTGTGGTTTAGGATTTGAGAGGTGGTGAGAGGGGTCGTGGGGAGGCTCTGGGGACAGCGTCTGTGGGGTCCGCGGGGTGGATGGGGTCTGAGGGCAGCCGGCGGGCTCTGAAGGAGGAGAGGGCACTGATGGCAGGATCTGCCGACGGTTCGAGGGTCCGAGAGTGGGACGCCTGGACTAAGGACTAGGGAAGTGTCTGTGTGTTGGGGGTGGGGTCTGCAGGCTGGGAAAGGGGGCTCTGAGGACAGTGTCTGGGGCTGGGGAAGGGGTCAGCGGAATGGGGACAGGGTTTGCTAAACGGGTGGGGGCGGGGTCTGAGGGCCGCGGAAGAGAATGACAGGGTGGGAGGGGCTTGAGGGCTCGCGGAAGGGTCTGAGGGTGATCTGTGACACCAGAAAGCTCTGGGAAAGTTCTGGGCCCAGACCCCAGTCCAGGTGGCTTTGCACTCACCGTTGGGCTAGACAGTGGTCGCCACGTGACTGCCACGTGATTCGGCCGGCCGTATGAGCGGGAATCCGAGGTGCTTGAGCCCCAGTGGCCTCCCGCAGCGCCTGCGCAGTAGCACCCCCTTCCCCAACACAGCCCAGCGACTCGGCCTGGGACCCGTCGCCCTGACCAGTCGGGGTTGTCACTGTCTGAGGATGGGGCTGTCTACCCACACCGGACTAAGCTCTGTAAGGCAGGACCTGGGGTCGTTCTTGTCACTGTTGTGTTCACAGCCTTGTTCACCCCAGAACCTAGCTCAAAGGAGGCCTCATTCCGTGCTTTTATTCTCACTCTGTCGCCCAGGCTGGGGTGCAGTGGCGCGATCTCGGCTCACTGCAACCTCCATCTCCCAGGTTCAAGCAATTCTACCTCAGCCTCCCGAGTAGCTGGGATTACAGGCTCACACCACCACGCCCAGCTAATTTTTGTATTTTTAGTAGACACGGGGTTTCACCATGTTGACCAGGCTGGCCTCCAACTCCTAACTTCTGCCCATCTTGGCCTCCCAAAGTGCTGGGATTACAGGCATGAACCACTGTACCTGGCGTTTTTCTCAGACAGGATCTCAATCTGTTGCCCGGGCTGGTGTGCAGTGGTGAGATCATAGCTCACTCCAGCCTCCACCTCCAGGGCTCAAGCCAACCTCCTGCCTCAGCCTCCCAAGTAGCTGGGACCACAGGCACAAGCCACCCACCACACCTAATTTTTTTTTTTTAAGGTGGAGTCTCGCTCTGTCGTCAGGCTGGAGTGCAGTGGCACTATCTTGGCTCACTGAAACCTCCGCCTCCCAGGTTGAAGCGATTCTCTTGCCTCAGCCTCCCAAGTAGCTGGGACTACAGGTGAGTGCCACCTCGCCAGGCTAATTTTTGTATTTTTAGTAGAGACAGGGTTTCACCACATTGGCCAGGATGGTTTCGATCTCTTGACCTCGTGATCCATCTACCTCAGCCTCCCAAAGTGCTGGGATTACAGGTGTGAGCCACTGCGCCTGGCTAGCTAATTTCTTTCTTTTCTTTCTTTCTTTTTTTTTTTTTTTTGTTGAGAGATATGGGGTTTCACTATGTTGCCCAGACTGGTCTCAAACTCCTGACCTCAAGCAATCCACCTGCCTTGGTCTCCCAAAGTGCTGGGATTACAGGCATGAGCCACTGCGCTTAGTTTCATTCAATGCTTATTAACTGACAGAATGACTTGGCTCTTTCTTCTGTCCCTCCCTGGCCATTTGGCCTAGGCCAAGCCCCTTGACTTCAGTGCCTTGGTGTCTGCTCTCCATGTGTGCCCTTCCTTTAGGCATCCCCTGGGATGAAGAAAGTTCTGCATCAGTCGCTGGTCAGACCCAACCCAGGATGGGCTGCCTCAGAGGTGGGGGAGGCTTCCTTAGGCCTCCGTCAGTGCCCTTACTATTCTCAGTGGGTGTCTAACGATCTTTTTCTTTTCTTTTCTTTTGAGACCGAGTCTTGCTCTGTTGTCCAGGCTGGAGTGCAGTGGCATGATCTCAGCTCACTGCAAGCTCTGCCTCCTGGATTCATGCCATTCTCCTGCCTCAGCCTCCCAAGAAGCTGGGACGACAGGTGCCCACCACCATGCCCGGCCTTTTTTTTTTTTTTTTTGTATTTTTAGTAGAGACGGGGTTTCACTGTGTTAGCCAGGATGGTCTCAATCTCCTGACCTCATGAGCCACCCGCCTCAGCCTCCCAAAATGCTGGGATTACAGGTGTGAGTCACCGCGCTCAATCTTTTTTTTTTTTTTTTTTTTTTGAAACACAGTCTCTTTCTGTCACCCAGACTAGAGAACAGTCTGGATACAGTCATAGATCACTGCAGCCTCAAACCCCTGGGCTCAAGTGATCCTCCTGCCTCAGTCTCCTGAGCTGGGACCACAGGCACGCACCACCATGCCTTACTGATTTAATTTTTTGTAGAGAAAGAATATTGCTATGTTGCCCAGGCTGGTCTTGAACTCCTAGACTGAAGGAAGCCTCCCACCTTGGCCTCCTAAAGCACTGGGATTATAGGCAAGAGCCACCACTCCCAGCCTAACGCTCTCTCTTGAATTGCAAAACCCCTAGCTTGGACTGGCTGAGGTCAAGATGAGCCCTTCCACAAGGAGGCGGTGTCAGTGCAGGACAGCAGCTTTGGCAGTGCCTAAGGACTTTTATTGACCACATGACCCCCTCAGGGGTGCTAGTGGGGTATCCTTCGGCGTCCTGGCAGCAGCCGCCGCCACAGTTCTTGGCTGAGCAGCTCCTGTTCCCTGCGGACACCCTGAAGCACGCTCCGGTTTTCCTGGGCCCTCCGGATCAGGTAGGGGATTACCTCCTCCAAGGAGCCATAGGGGATGGACTTATACACTACATAGCCGGCCTGCCCTGCAGGGAGAGTGGGTTTTGTTTTTTCATTTTTGGTGTTTTTCTGAGACAGAGTCTGTTTTTTCATTTTTGGTGTTTTTCTGAGACAGAGTCTCACTCTGTTGCCCAGACTGGAGTGCAGTGGCATAGTCTCCGCTCACTGCAACCTCCGCCTCCCAGGTTCAAGTGATTCTCCTCCTGCTTCAGCCTCCTGAGTGGCTGGGATTATAGGCGTGTGCCACTATACCTGGCTAATTTTTGTATTTTTAGTAGAGACGGGGGTCTTACCATGTTTGCCAGGCTGGTCTCGAACTCCTGACCTCAGGTGATCCACCTGCCTCGGCCTCCCAGAGTGCTGGGATTACAGGCGTGAGCCACTGCACCCGGCCTATTTATTTTGTTTTTGAGACAGAATCTGGCTCTGTCGCCCAGGCTGGAGTATAGTGGCATGATCTCAGCTCACTACAACCTCCGCCTCCTGGGTTCAAGTGATTATCCTGCTTCAGCCTCCCCAGTAGCTGGGTTACAGGCATGCACCACCATGCCCAGCCAATTTTTGTAGTTTTAGTAGAGATGGAGTTTCACCATGCTGGCCAGGCTGGTCTCGAACTCCTGACCTCAAGTGATCCACCCACGATGGCCTCCCAAAGTACTGGGGTTGCAGGTGTGAGCCACTACACCCTGCCCCAGCTAATTGTTCTTATTGTTTGAAGAGGTGGAATCTCACTATATTGCCCTGGCTGGCCTCAAACTCCTGAGCTCAAGTGATCCTCATGCCTTGGCCTCCCAAAATGTGGGGATTACAGGCGTGATCCACTGCATCCAGCCTGCATTTTAAAAAATCTTAGTTATTAAAATGGTGCCAGGCCGGGCGCGGTGGCTCAAGCCTGTAATCCCAGCACTTTGGGAGGCCGAGGCGGGCGGATCACAAGGTCAGGAGATCGAGACCACAGTGAAACCCCGTCTCTACTAAAAATACAAAAAAAAATTAGCCGGGCGCGGTGGCGGGCGCCTGTAGTCCCAGCTACTCAGGAGGCTGAGGCAGGAGAATGGCGGGAACCCGGGAGGCGGAGCTTGCAGTGAGCCGAGATCGCGCCACTGCACTCCAGCCTGGGCAACAGCGTGAGACTCCGTCTCAAAAAAAAAAAAAAAAAAAAAAAAAAAAAAAAAAAAAAAAAAAAAAAAAAAAATAAATAAAATAAAATGGTGCCAAGAGAGTAAGGAATTTACTAATCCAAGAATCAAGAGAAAGTGAGGCCAGGTATGGTGGCTCATGCCTGTAATCCCAGCACTTTGGGAGGCTGAGGTGGGCAGATCACCTGAGTTCAAGAGTTCGAGACCAGCCTGGCCAACACGGTGAAACCCGTCTCTACTAAAAATACAAAAATTAGCCAGGCATGGTGGCAGCTGCCTGTAGTCCCAACCACTTAGGAGGCTGAGGCAGGAGAAATTGCTTGAACCCAGGAGGCAAAGGTTGCAGTGAGCCAAGATGGCACCACTAGACTCCAGCCTGAGTAACGGAGCAGGACTCTGTCTCTAAATAAATAAATAGATAGATAGATAGATAGATAGATAGATAGATAGATAGATAGATAGATAGATAGATAGATAAATAAATAAGAAAATGAGAACCCAGAGAGAGAAGGGACACACAGTAAGCCACTTCTGCCCTGAAAGCAAAACCGAGCTGCTATTTGATGACTTCACAGAGTTTTGGGAGGACATTGAGTCAGACTTCAAGCCTGACTGAGGTGAGAGTTATAAGGGAGAACTTCCCCAAGTTAAACCAGAACCCAAAAAACTATACCCTCAGAGTAAGAGCTAATAAACAGTCAACACTGCAACCTTCCCCCAGTCCCAGGAAATGGTCTTGGTCATAAACAGATCAAGGAACAAAACAGAAAAATCCACCTCTGTGAAGTTGGGGCTATGGGTTAACCCCCTTATGTATTTGTAGTTCAAATTTGCACCAGTGGGGTATCTCAAGAAACCTCAAGCTGTGAATTTAGGATAAAGTGATTTTGTTCTGCTTAGCACCTGGCAGAAGGAAACGTTAATTATCTGGTGTCAGGCTCTGAGGAGCAAAAAGAGTAAAGATAACAAAACACACAAGAAATAATACACCATGATCAAGAACCAGCAGAAATGACAGACGGCAGACACACAGACACAGCCTGGGAAGGCCCGCAGACACTGGAATGACAGATCTCTCTGGAAGGATCTGGAGGCTGGGCCTTGGTTGGGAATAGGAGAAGGGCTCTGGCTGGGAGGGAGTGAGGCCTGGGGCTTGGTGGGGATGGGGGAGACATTCACATACCCAGTGCCAGAGAAACGTGGTCACACATGCCCAGAAGTTGTCCAAAACAGACAGTCCCGTCCAGAGGAATGCCCAGCTCCCACATGCTGCAGGAAAGACCACATCATCACTCCAGACCGTGGCTGCATCTAGAGCTTAGAGTCAGTCACTAAGCACCCATATGGCAGCTCCAGTAATTCAAATATTGAAGTATTTCCAAGCTCAATGATACATAATAATAAGTCCTTTGCATTCCTTGAAGGTCCCCCAGGGACTCCCAGCCACTTCCCTGGAGCTCTCAGACCTCCTTATGCCCCAGCAAATAAGGGGCGACATCTTGTCCATCTGGAACCTATAAGGACCTACAGGTATAGCAGGGGTTAATGTGTTTATTTGTTTTAAGAGGTAGGGTCTTGCTTTGTTATCCAGGCTAGAGTGCAGTGGCTCAAGCACTGCTCACTGCAGCCTCAACCTCCTGGGCTCAAGTGATCCTTCCACCTCAGCCTCCCAAATAGCTGGGACTATAGGTGTGTACCACCACACCCAGCTTTTTTTTTTTTTTTTTTTTTTTTTTTTTAATTTGGTATAGAAATGGGATCTTTCTGTGTTTCCCAGGCTGGTCTCCAACAGTCCTCCACCTCAGCCTCCCAAAGTGCTGGGATTATAGGCATGTGCCAACCATGCCCGGCTATAAATTTTTGTTGTTGTTGTTTGTT